TGAGGGAGCCAAACATTTCCCAAAATAACTGTTACCAGGCAGACGGAGACTAGTGGTTTTAATAAAGGGCTATGGAAGTGCTATAGCTTAACTGAGGGAAATGACTACTTTTGACCTCTGTATCTGAGAAGACTTCCTAGAGGAGTCAGGATTTGAGCTTTTTGGAAAGAATTTTATAGGTAGTTACTGGAGAAAGGATACTCTTTTCCTTTTTGAAACAAAACTCCTAGGATCCCCAAATTTCTTGGACCACCAGGGCCAGCGTGCATGCAGTATTTGGAGTCTCCTGGTGGCGGGGGTTTGGAGAGTTTTGAACATAGGAGTAACACAATCATATAACACACTGGCAGTGTGGAGGACGTATTAGAGGGCAAGGTCAGAGAAGGGATCTTGGGAGAGGCTGGAGCTATTGTCCAGACTAGGACCTGAACTGGATGAGGACAATGGGAAGTAAAGAATGGATGCAAGATGACTAATGGAGGAAGAACTCATGGCCTGACTGTGATGTTTTGGGCAATAAAGCCAGGATGAGAGGAAGGAGAAATAGGGAACTTAGCATCTGGCTGTTACTCTTCTCCTCAGAAAAGCCCAGGCCATCTTAGGCTACCAGGGAAATGACCCAACTGCCTTGTTTAGCCAGCCAGGGCCACAGGCTTCCCAGAAAGCTCTCTTGCGCCATCTGGTAGAGGGAGTCTCTGCATTGCTGTTGTCTGGGAGAATCTCTCCCACTCTCAGATGAATCACAATCACGGCATTTGTGCTCTGTGGGACTCTGCCCTGCGGGGCTCTCCTTCTGCTCACACATCCCCCAGTCTCCCTGTTTCTGCTTATGCTATATCGCCAGGCTCAGGATAGTTCTTCAGTGAGTCAGGTCCAGGATTTCCACCACTTCCTTTGCTGGAGAAGTAGGTTTTGGGTTGCTCTATTTTATTGTATTGCTCCCAGTTAGAGTACCTCAGATCGCCCTTAAAGAACCTCTTTCCCCACACTCGGGGGGAGGGCGGCAGCTTAATAAACTCACAGACAATATGGCAGGAAGAAGTTATTTGACCCTGAGTTTAGCAGCCATGGAGCCAAATTACCAACATTTTAATTTGTATTTATTTATTTTTTTAACCAACATTTTTAGAAGTCAATTATTCTTAAAGTCTCCTCAGTATTAATTGCTTATTAAAAAGGAAAGGTGACCACAAGGGCCTGATTTAATTTCTCACAGTCAGAGGACCTTAGAAGTGTTAGGCCACCTAAACAAAGGCAAAGAGGCAATGCAAGGCAGCCTCGGAGCTCTGTCCCTTGGATTCTTCTATTTGCAGGTACAGGTATAAAAGGGAGTGTAGACGCCGATAAATATTTAAGTGGACGGAGACAACTGGAGAGGGCAGTTATGCCCCTGGCCCACATGAGGGAGCCCTTTACAGCTCCGATAACCAGCAGCTGTTAGCCTCAGGCTCATTCCCACTAACTGTAGTAAATTTCCTATTAGCGAAGGACTTAATCCAAATCTAGAATGGTCAGTGGTTGTCACGCTTGTGTCCAGGACAGGTGCATAAAGAGACGGCTTCTCTGAAGCGGCCTGCGCTTGGTGGGGAGGAAAGAAGAAGCATGGTCAGAGACAGAAATGGCGTGGTGGAGAGGGAACTGGCAGGCCTGTGCTTTAGGGCAGAAAGGAGAACCGAGGAGGGATAGCAGAGAACCGACGTGTGGCTTTAAGCCTCGTACCTCCGTATCTCTTAATGGTCACTTCTTTCTAGAGTCAACATCCATGCCGCTTATATTTTTCTGTTTTCCACCCAGCCCCATGGAGCCTTAACCATGCCTGTCCAGAGTGTGTTGAGTAGGTGAGGGTAAAGGGGGAGACCTTACTCTGCTTACCGTGGTGGGTGGAGAAATGTGTTGCTGGAACCCTACACAGTATAGTCATTGGACATCCTCTCCTTTAAGGACAGTGTGAGCTGAGTATTTGGGTCTGAGCGCCAAATAACAACAGCATCATTGAAGTACCACAAATAATGCTATGGTTATGGGAGTTCGCAAGAATTAGCTGACAAATTTTGGGAAATGAATCGCCCTGCAAGCTACACTGCAAATGATGGGTAGGTGGAAGTCAAGAGAATGGGATCTGCTGTTATTTAAATCCATTCTGTTCTGCTATTTGTTAGATCCCCAGACATTCACTCATTAGGTGCTACTCATAAGGATCATAAGTATTGTCTCTCACCCTCTTTCTCTGCTGGGTGGTCATTAGTATAGGGACTGAGTAATTAGGAATGATCCAGGCCAGAAATTTAAGACTATAGTTCATTCTGTTTCCAGACTGTGTTGGGAGGGCCACTGAAACCAATAGAAGCCCCTCTTTGCTGACAGTGGATCACACCTCTAGGTATTATGTGAGCTCCACCTAAACAGCCGCTAACTCTGGCTGTCTCCAGCAGCCAAAAGCAGAGATTTTTTTTTTTTTTTTATGTACACTAATAACACTTGCTGTGTTCTAAGACATTGTGCTCATTTCCTTGGAGAATGGATGTGGCACAATCAAGGAAACCAAAGATGAAAGAGAGTTGCTTCTTTACCCGATTCCCACCCCCACCCCCACCATGCCTCCTGTCTGAGCCGGACAGGGGAATATGATCAACGATTGGATTGGGTAGGGTGTGGCTCAGACCAGAAGTGAGATGTGTAGGCCGGGAACTCCAGTGCTGGGGCAGGGGGTGGTGGTGGTGGGGTGACAAGGTAGGGGGTACGGGGAAGGGGAGAGGGTACTTGGATTGCAATGATGTTTAAGGCATCAAAATGGAGAATGTGAGCAGATGCAAATTAGGCTGACTAAGGAGGCAAAAAATGCTGTGAAATCCCCAAAGACATGTAAGGCTGAGAATGAACTTTCTCCTCTTTGTTCGTGAGAGTGTGTTCTTAGTGGTCTCACCATTCAAGAGGCAAGGATTAGTCATGACGGCAATTTCTAAGAGGACCGAATTGATTTTATCCACACACCCTTGTGAACTGGAAGGCAGGTATCTTATTACTTGCACTTAACATGAGGCAGCCTGGTGAGAATTGGCAACAGCTCCTCAGTTCCATATAATAATAGTAATACTGATAATCACAAGCAAAGCCACCCCCTTAGTACCTGTCATGTGCCAGGCATTGTGACAGGAGTTTCACATATGTGATCCAATTTAACCCTCATAGTTTCCTGTACAATTGGAGTTGCCACCCCCCACTTCATATAGAAGGAAACTGAGACCCAAAAGTCAAATAACGTGATATGATTCTAAACTCAGCCTCTGTCTAATCCCAAAACCTCTTTTCATGGTGCATTAAAGTCAAGCAGAAAATTGTGAAAGTGTGCAAGAAACTGAGGTAAGCAAAATGGGTTTGAATGTGTGGGGAGAGTATTCATAACAGACGTGAAAGCTCCAAGTTCTCCCCTAGGGCGGCAGGAGAAACTTCATCAATTTTGTCATTCCCAGTGAAATTGGACACATTCCTACAAAATAGCCTGGGTGGGAGGGAAGTGCTTGTATTGGGAAGGTGGGTGGGACTCCTTGGAGGGAACAGTAGGGTGGGGGGTGGAAGTGGGAAACAGTGTCTGCCTCTCAGTCCTGGCCTGTAAAGGAAGGCACTCCAGCATTTCCTGAGCCGAGATAAAAGGTCCCTAACTGTTGGAAGGATAGTATTAGTGCTTTCCAGTAAATACCCAGGACAATAGGAAAGTGGCTCAAGCACACTCAAAGTTTCAATTAAATAAGGTGGAGTGAGAGAGAGAAGGAGGAAGTGGGACGGTGGCAGGCTGTGCAGAGCCATCTCCTCCCTAGGTGGGGACGTATGCACGGTCGCCCTGCCTAGGGTGTGAATAAGCCAATAAGCCGGAGCTCTTTGCTTTGAAGTCCCTGGGAGCCTGCACTACGTGTGACTATCTTGGGCAGGACGACGCACTCCTGCAGCTGACATAAATCAGAATAGCCTCCCAGGTGCACCCTCCCCACTTCTTTGCTTTCTGGGTTTTACGATCAACGGACTTTCTCTTTTTACACTGCTGAGATTATGGCCGACCGCTTCTGTGTATCCATGCACATTCCTAATCTATATTAGTTCCCAATTCTCCCACCACGCGATTTATGCACTTGCCTGACTTCTATATTGAGTCACCATGAAGGATTAGAATTTGTATAAATGTCATATACAAGTAGAAGGCACATTTGGTGGTATCTCAAGATGCATGTTTCTCAAGCCCCCAGAACTGTCATATTGAGTTGTAGGAACTATAACAGCACTCCCAGACCAATAGCAGATGCCTGACCGTGGGGCTCACGCAGCCCAAGGCCCAGGCCCAGGTGTAATAATACAAGTCGGAAACAGTCAATGATCAGACCATTAAGCTGTAATTAGGTTGTTATAATTATTGAATACCAAACAGCATTATAATAATAGAAAATGTGGATCTCACATTTTATATCTCACCTGGGATCAAATTAGTAGCGCATGCAGTCTATGGGCATTGAGTAATAGCTGCTGTTCTGTGGAAGTCATCCGTTTCCATTCAGGTTGCTGGATGGGCAGGCTGACAGAGGCGCTGACGCTTCCCTAGTGGGAAATGGAAATTTACATGACAGGCGGCACTGGAAATAATAGTTGTCAAAGGCCCCTTTAAAAACCCAAGTCCTACTTTTGGTGTCTGAAACACAAACAAAATAGAATATTAAGTTATCATAGAACACTCTTTTTTTGTTTGTTTTTGAAACAGGCTCTATTCGAGAGATGGGTAAATAAATACCTGAGACGGAGAATTATGTTTATATTTTGGTATATGTAAATAGACAAATAGGCACTGAGGAAACCAGGCTAACTAAATGTTTTTAGAAATTTATGATGACATTGTGATGGTTTTTATTGCAACTTCAGATATTAGCAGACAGGCCACACGTGTGGGAAAGCTGAACTGTCTTCTTGAATTTGACCGTCATCTTTTGTCTTCCATTTGTTTTCTCCTTTCTTCTCAGGACTTTCCACCTGCTAAATCATCAAAAAGCCAAGATGTTGGTATTACTGGCTGGCATCTTTGTAGTCCACATCGCCACTGTGATTATGTTATTTGTTTCCACCATTGCCAATGTGAGTAATGTTCTTTTGCGCATTCATTCATACATTCATTTATTCAGAAGTTTAAGCCACAATCCCTGCCCTTCATGAATTTTCAGCTTCATAAATTTTCCATTGTGGGAATAAAACACACACTCGAACTGCAAGCAACTAAATAAGGGGAGGATAAAAGTCAGTGTCTGCCTGGAGGTCTAGAGGCTGCAGAACCCAATGAGGCTTTAGTCTCCACAGGAGCCTGCTCAGCTGAGGTGGAGCTTGCAGGACTGGTAGATGGCTGGGCTTTCTCTTTGCCTAAGATGAACAGGGGAAGGAGCACAGGGTTATATTCCAGGCAGAAGTGCTAGCCAAGGGGCCCAGGTAGGAGGGGCAGGCTTTGTTCAGGGCATAATGCAGACGCCTAGGTGTCAGGAGCAGAACTTCCCTTCCTTCTGGGAGCCTTGATTAGAAGGAGAGATGGGAGAGAGATGATGAGAAGCAGCATTGGTCGCCAGACTGACAGATTCAAGTTCTGAGCAGAAAGTACTAGTGTGTGAAAGTGCAGTTTTGCAAGATTGTCACTCACTCAAAACAACAAAAATATGGAGTTAGCAAGTCCCTTCTTTCTGAATCTTGGGCTTTTCTGCCCTCTGGTGGTAGTTTGTAGCTTCCAATTTGCTTTGCTTGTGCTGTCCTCAGAAAAAACAAGACAGATCCTTGAACCCATAAACCAAAGCCACCAATCGCTAGATAGGCAAATGATGGCTCCAGAATCTGTTTAGGTCCCTGTTACAGTTAAAGTATAAGTAGGTTTGAAAGTTCAGATAGATGAGTTTTGCCAGCATTGGTGGGTGCGATTATAAGCAAGGCTGACGCGAGCATGACTATGATGCGATGGAGCCCGTGCCCCTGCCGCCGGCCCCGACCTGTAATTCAGCCATGCTGTACGCCAGTCTCCCAGCCTCTCAGGGTAACTGGTCTGATAAATGCCTTCAGACTGTATCAGTGGGTGCCACAGTGAACACTGAATCAAGAGCAGGCAATTGCATGTTTTTGGCCTTACCTTTCCAGTAACATGCATTTTAACAGACACCTTGTGTGGACAGAGTTGGGTGTTTGTTTTCCATTCCAGAAGGAAAACTGCTTTTCTTGGGCCCTGCGAGATGGGGAGCTGACACTATGATGAGGCTCAAGGACTATATTCTGGTCACTTTTCCACTTCTAGCTGACCCCATAGTAAAGCTCTTGCTCTACTATTTGGCTATGACATTACTTAGTATGTTGTGACAATCAAAGTTTCATCCTTCTGTCTAGATGAAAGTGGCTTTCATCTACCCACGCAGGCTCATTGCTGTTTTCTTAGTTACCCTTGTGTTTCTTAGTTGTCTTTGGTTGAAGATTTTTCCTTAATATTTTTTTCTTTTTAGCCAGGCCCTTCCATGACATACTCTTGATAGGGTATATGAATTGGACACACTGAAAACCACTTTCTTCATCCAGGGTTTCCATTTCTTAGAACCTTAGAGTTTTGAACCATTGTGGTTAAATTATTTCCTTTTTTTTTTTTTAAAGTGATGAGAAATGTGAAGCCCTGAGATCTAGGTGATTTTTCCCTTGGTCACATTTTCTTCTCTCTTTTCTCTTGGGAACTTTGTAACTTCAGTTTTAGTAAAATCTTATTTCCATCGAGAGATGGGTTGCACAGCCATATTTATGGCTAAGTATGGTTACTTGCTTAAGATTTGGTCCCGGCACAAGCTGATTTGGTATTTATTTTTCTTTAAAGCAGAAGGTCAGTTTTTAAACACAACTTTTGTTTCCTCCTGGTTTCAGGTCTGGGTGGTTTCAGATAATACAAAAGCATCAGTAGGCCTTTGGAAAAACTGTACCGGAGGCAACTGTGATGGAAGCCTGTTCTATGCCCATGAAGGTATCTATAAAGATATTGTATTCAGTGCTGACCATTCATGTGACTGGGGAACCATCCAACCTGTCGGGACTGGTTGGCCTGACCCCTTGCTCCCTCCTGCTGTGTCCACAGATGCGCTCAAGGCAGTGCAGGCCTTCATGATCCTTTCCATCATCTTCTCTGTCATCTCCCTCGTGGTCTTCGTGTTCCAGCTCTTCACCATGGAGAAGGGAAACCGCTTCTTCCTCTCGGGGGCGACGATGCTGGTGTGCTGTGAGTACCTGAGGCACACAGTCTCCAGTTTACCCAGGCAAAGCTTTTCCATAAATCTTACCATGGATGCTTCTGGCAACTTGAACAGATGAGCACATGGCTCTGGTTATGTGTTCTGTTTTTGAGGATCCCTGATACATGCTTGGAATAAGGACCCTTATCCGCTTCATTGTTTACGTCTTGCGCTCTGAGGCAGCTCCTGAGTGGCAGGCTGCCCACCAGTAGCCCTCATGCATAAGACTCTTGAAGAGGGCCGAGGGGTGGGAGGCCTCAAAAGATCAAAACCACTGCCACAGGGCTCACAATGGTTGCCATTCTCATTCTCCTGTCGTTCTTCCCAAACACATACAGTGTGGCGGCATGCTTGCTTCCCCAGGCACCCTGCCCACGTGTGCAGGGGCATGGCCCTGAGGTTCTGTGTTTTACTTCACACTGGCAGCCACACAGCCCAGTGCAGATGTGAGGGCCCAGACACCTCTCATTTACCAACAGAACCGCCGAACTTGGATCAGGGTAGATCAATAGAACTCCTATTTGGGCCCAAACAGCCAGATATCATTTTCCCAGTGCAGATGAGGGGAAAAGGATCTTTTAAAAATTATAAAAACTGTTCTTGGTTTTAACGTAAAAAAAGAACCCCCCAAAACCCCAACCACCAACCAAACAAAAAAAACCTTACATCAACTTTTTTTTTTCCTGCAGGGCTATGCATTATGGTTGGGGTGTCCATCTATACTCACCATTACGCAAGTGGTCAGAAAGCTCTCTACACCCAAAGTCACCATGGCTATTGCTTCATCCTGACCTGGATCTGCTTCTGCTTTAGCTTCATCATTGGCATTCTCTACCTGGTCCTGAGAAAGAAATAAGGCTGAACAAGTTCATGGGGATCTGGGGGGTGGGGAGGAGGAAGCCACGGAATCTGGGAGGGAAGTGAAAGTTGCTCTGCAGGAAAAACCAAGACAGGGGCGGGGGGGGGGGCGGGGGAGGGAGACATAAGGATGGGAGAGGCTGAAACCCAAACCGTTACTCAGGAGGTGCTCTATTGTCCAGCCCCTGCCCTTGGGAGAAAGCTTTTGGCTAGAACTTCCATGCTCCCTTGATACAGTCCAGAGAGCCTCTCTCCAGCCGCCAGACTTGGCCTCCAGCTGTTCTCAGTTACACACACTGCCTGGGGCCCCACCAGCTGCCACACCACTGGCTCCACTTCTAAGGGTGAATTCTGGGTCTTGCACTGCGGTCCTCAGACCTACTGCACCAAGTTAAAATAGCGGTACAAGTTCCGGCAAGGGCAGATATTGTTTTGTGTTGAATATATTAAGCCTGGAGACCATCCCACCCTCCTGACCCAAAGCAAAACATCACATTCCAGTCTGAAGGGCCAACAGGAGGGCTTTGGCCAGTTACACATTATCCCTCTTTAGAACAGATATTTGGCTCTGGAATTCAGTGGTATTTCTGACAAAAATGGTAGGAAGAGATATAGTCATGAAGCCAAGTTGGTGGGTTAATTAAACCAAGAAAGAGAACTTTTCACAATGAAAGGCCTAGGGGATGGTTAGAGCCAAGACCAGACCTCACACAGCTGTCCCTCATGGAGACCTCTTGCTATGGACTTTGCTAGGCCTCTCGCTTAAAGCCAAGGCAGTGCTTCTGGAGTTTCTGTAAAGCCACTAACGACCAGTTCTGTGGTAAAAGTACCACACAGATTATGGGATCAAAAGGCAGCCTTGCAACAGTGCTATATTAGGGTTATGATTTTAGGATCCCCCCTTCCATGAAATGTTTCTTTTAAATATATAACAAGAGAAAGACAGACACAGCTCCTTGTAACACTCTGTTACTCTCCCTCTACATTATACACTTTTCAGGATGTTTTATCTAATTATCCACATTGGGGGTCAGGGCTCTTAGGGTCAGTGGCAATTCTAGCTTTGACACTGGCTGGAATGGTCACCTTTCAGAGGACCTGCCTATCCTGTTTCATAGGGTATGGCACAGCCCTCTGGGATTCTGGAAGCTTATTGGAACACACACAAACCAAAACCAAACAACAAATCCTTGGGTGAAAGGTGCTATGTAATTGTAGAGTGTTAAGCAAACTAGATTTTAAGTCATAATAAGAACAGAGTGTCTGTGTTCCTAGGAAAATAAGACAATTCCCATGAGGTAAATAAAAATATAGGTGGTGGGCAGATGTTTTCTTTAAGGGGAAAAAATAAGAAACTCTGGTGGTCCTCAGTCAGATGGTAATTGATCTGTCTGTTCCCACAGAGCATTTCTACATAGGCCTTAGAAGCAGTATGTTATTCCTGGTTAAGCAGCCATGGCTCTGGCCTGGAGCAGCTATTTTAAGCCATCTCAGATTCTGCCTAAAGAGTTTATTTTAGGAAGACATTTCCTTTTATCACCCTGAGAAGATCTGTTCTAGGGAGAATCTGAGACATCTTGCCTACTTTTTGTCTCCCAACACTCTCCTCATCCCATTTCTTATATACTTTTCCTTTCTGGGGAGTTGTTATGCCATGATTGCTGGTATTTATGTTAAAAGGACTCCTACTAAGTATATTTCTCTGCGTTCATTCTGGTTACGGGAATGTTGAGGGCAGGTCACCAAATTCTCTGGGCTAGAGGTAGAGAGGTTGGCAAGCAAAAGCTGTAGGATGATAAACTTTTAAATTGTCATTTAATTATCATGCGGTTATAGAAGGCTGTTTTATGTGCAGAAGCATACTTACATATCAGATATATCCAAAAGAGATACTCGCATTATGTTAAGAAGTCAAACTATGACTGGAGTGAACCATGTATTCCCTTGTCTTTTACTTTTTTTCTGTGCCATTTATGTCTCATGTAATTTGCATTACATTGGTGGGTTGTTCTAGTACTGTATTTGGCTTCTTTAATAGATTGATATTTCATATACTATAATTGTAAATATTTTGATACAAATGTTTATAACTCTAGGGATATAAAAACAGATTCTGATTCCCTTCATCATGTGGATGTTTTCTTTTGAGAAATTGTAGGACGATATGGACAACGGTGACATTTACTCCTAATTAAGTTGTCAATCAATTTGATGTGGACAAGTTGGCATTTATTCAAGACATTAGGCACTTCTGGCAATACATTAGGCATTTCTACAATAACTCTTTCAAGATGAATGTTATTAAATATAGTTTTATCTTGCTTTAATTAAACTCTTAAGCACAAAATAGAACTTTAGAAGCTAATACATTAGAAGGAGGTTATGATCTTGAATCAGAATGGCATATGACATTAAAAAAATGAGTTGCTTGCAAAGTTCCTTTGAAATAGCCAACTCCTCTAATGTGTCTTCAATATATAAAGCAATTCACAAATGTATGCAACATATACATTGGCAGGAGCTCATTCATTGCATTGGAGCATATCTGTATGTGCTCTTTCAGAAAAAAGTTTTACTGCTTTCTGTGAGCAATAAGGACTGGAAGCAATGCTAGAAAATAGGGTACATGCTGTGTGTCCCAGGCACCATGTCAACCCCAATGTAAGAATGGTTTTCATGTGAGGTAGACAATCTTCCAGTTCCCTGTGATCTTGGATGAAGTGACTTCCCAGAGTAATACAGAAAAAAATACACAAAGGAGCCAGAAAACCAAACTTGAACATATTTTAAATTCAATTAATTAAATTGCATTAATTATTGATGCCCTCTCAGAGACCTATACGACTTCTTACATTGCTTCTAGGATATCATTACAAGAGACTACTTCTCTCCCTTAGCTCTCCCAGGAATTCTATCCCCCATGCCATATGCCCAGTCACAAATAAGACCTCCAGAACATCCTTTATTCCCTTCTGTCTCTAGGTCTTTAGTCAGAAGCTCTATTAAATGCCTAGCCCTACCCAAATTGTCGGGTCCTGCCAGGACGGAATCTTCACTTCAAAGACCTGGACGGTGCATGGGTGTGCATTAATTGGGACTCCCCAGAGGAACAGAACCAATAGGATGTGTGTGTGTAAAGAAATTTGTTTTAAGGAATTTGGTCACATGACTATGGAGGCAGGCAAGTCCAAAATAGGAGAGCTGGTAGGCTAGAGCTCCAGAGAAGAGCCTGTGTTGCAGTTCAAGTCCAAAGGCTGTCTGCTGGCCGAATGTTCCCTTGTTTAAGGAAGGTCAGTCTTTCTTCCTATTCAGGCTTTCCACTGTTTGAGTAAGGCTCACCACACTATGGGGGACAATATGTTCTCCTCTAAGTCCACTGATTTAAATGTTAATCCTATCCAAAATGTTCTCACAGACACATCCAGGATAACATTTGACCATGTATCTGGGTGCCATGACCCAGGTAATTTGACACAGCAAGTTAACCATCACAGGGGAAAGCATTATTATAAAGGACAAAACATTGGCTTACTAAAAACTTCAGAAATAATTTAGAAGAATCTTAAACAGTGTTCACAGTTGACATTTAACTTTTTTAAATGGTGACATAATACATGGGGGTCAAACTTGCAAGATGATCTTAGGTATCCTGTGAAGAGACAGAAAATTGTCAGTCTCTTCTATAGGAGCTTAATAATTATTTGGTGAATTAAATGTCTTAGGAAAAATAAAATTTAATTGAATATTGACATATTTAATTATTAATTAAATAGTTTTAGAAGAAATTGGTCCAAATTGTGAGAATAGGGAAGATGAGCTACAGAGTTCTCCATTACCACTCAAGAATGGGACCTATGGGCAAATGACAACTTATTTATCCATCCAAGTGATAAACTTGAAGTACTAAATGGTAAAGAGACAGCTATACCCTTCTGCTCTGGACCCAGCCATTATAGTCCCTGCTTAAAACTTTACTGGCTTTCAGGCACAGACAAAAAAATATTTCAGAAAGCCTGGAAAGAAGGCATATGAAAACTAAGAGGATATAGTACAGGTCTCCACACTTAAACAAAAAGAGAAGCTGTCTTCTATGTTTAGTAAAAAATAGCCACAATACACTAAAATACAGATAAAATCCTCCAGCAAAAACAACAACAACAACAACAACAACAACAACAACAACAACAAATATAAAAGAGTTTAAAAGAATTTTCATTATGAGGAACAGAAGGAAATGGGTTGGGTGGCACGAGTCAGGATGAAAAGAGAAGAAATCACTGGAAATTTTGGAGTAGATTTTTAGGAGGAATGATTCATTTTTAAAGATGTGTTTGTGGTCCAGAGGAGCAGGCAGCCCCTCAGGCATACAGGAAGCAGGGGAAGCTCCACGCTGATTGTGTGGAGCCCGAGGAAAGGAATGTTTGGAGTCCCACCTGGCCTTATGTCTGTAAGGAGATATGTGGAGCCTACTCATGGGACGGGGGTGACTACTAAAACATGTCTTGATACACAGCTGGGTGCTACGTGCTCTACCTAGTGGCTGGGGGGAAAAGATCAAGCAGACATTATTCCTGTCTTACAGTCTAGTCTGGGATAAGTCTCCTACCTAGAGAGAAGGGAAGGGGTTCTGAGGGAGCACAGACGAGATGGGGAGAATTGTCACCTCAGGGAGAAGATAGAAGAATGGAGATAGGAGGAGAGAAGAGATAAACCTTGCGGTATCTTTTACCTGCCCAAATCTCCCTGCCCTGAAGGCCACTCCTTTGTTCCAGCTCCCATCGTCTTCCATCTGGATAACTGCTATTGAGAAACATTCCATGGTCTCCATGTCTTCACTTAGAGTCCCTCCCACCTGTCCTTGATGCTGATGTCAGGATGGGTGTTGATGAATCTTCCTATCACTGCCAGGGAGCCAGTCCAAGGCTGGGAGGACCAGACCTCCAGCACAGGATGCCAATGTGAATAACCTCATGGCAGGCTCACAGCCAGCCTCCTTACTGTGCACTTCCATCCCTCATCATGAGATTGATTACCTTGAGTGCATACCTATGGAGACCCCAGCCCACACATCCAAGACCAGTGC